CCTTGGTCCCTTTGTAAAGGCTTTAAAGCTTTGTAGTTCGTCTTTTTGTAGTTAATGAGATGCTTTGTGAAGAAAATTGCACATTTATATACTTTATTTTAGATGGCAGCGTCACGATGGGCATCCGATCGCTGCGATCCCTCTGCCTCGACTCGATCATCGTCAACTCGCAGGGGAAACTGTTTATAAAAGGTATTTTTCTGAGGATTCTATGATGTTATTGTTCATTTGTATTTATTCAATGCTTAAATTTTGTTTCTAGGCCTTCCCCAACTCGTCAAAATAGGCCTCGTCCCCGACAAGCTCTCGATTATGATGGTCAACAAGGAAAAGTTCCACCTGCAATTCTGGCTGCCCTCCGTTGATATGCATCCATTTACGGTAAGTTTATTTTATCTTCATATACTTTGTATTGACTAAATTCTGACGTTTAGGTCATATTCCGGAACCTCTTCAGCCTGTTCAACGGGATCGGCTACCTGCGGCCGTGGAAGGTCAAACACATCGAGGTGCTGAACATCACCTTCGAGAAGGATGACCTCAGCAATATTCTGAGGGCGTTCAGGGTAAACATTAATGCTTGTTTGCTATTGGAAACTAGCTGAAAGTGCCTACTCCAATATTTCAATTTTTAGAAATTGCGTCCGATCAGCCTCACGCTGCTCAACTGTGCATACGACGTTTTGACCGAGTTGGAAAGAACGCGTCTTGCCGTTGGGCTAACTGACGGCGGGCGGATACAGGTGAGTTGTCCGTATTTTTGGAGGACCTCCTCATTTTTTAGGTAATCTACATCGGCCGTACCAGCGCGGTGAAACAGCCGCTCCCCGGGGCGATCACCGCCAAGTATGACGACAAATCGTTGAGAGTGGTATGTAAATTCTTGTGAATTAATTTATTTTACATTTTTAGATATCGGAAGATGAAGGCGAGGATGAAGAGGATGAAGATGAGAATGGCGAAGTCAACATCGGCGAGACTGACGATCTGGTGATGAAGAGATGTTTGGTTTTGAGTTTGGGTGGGTTCAGGAGGCTTTCGTTTCCCGCCCAAAATGGTCGTTTTAGGCAGGAACGAAAGTTTTTTACCATATTTCTTAAAAAATACCTTCTTACCGAAAAAGCATACGGTATCGTAATTTTATGGCAAAACTCAGCTATATTTCATTGGAAATCTGATTCGTAAAACGTGGAAAAAATTTGAATTTACGAACTGTTTAAAAATTGACCTTGAGTTCGAAATTTATATATCGTAAGGTTTATTCGGAAAAGGTGAATTTTTATATTTAGAAATAGCGGAAATCGAAATAGTGTGGTTCTAAGAATTCTAAAATTGCTTATAGGTTTTTTTGGTCCTAAGGTTTACCCTAACGATAATGAGAAAGCAACAAGAGGGTTTTAAAGAATCACTGTCTTATTTTAACTATTACCAATTTAAAGTAACGTTTTCAGGATGTGCATCGTGGAAGACTGCCAAGATGACCACGGCCGTGCCGCCGACGTAGCTCGAAAACTGGCGCTAGCGGCAAAAAGTCGACCCAAGCTGCAGCCCCAGCCACCACGCCGGATCAAGCGCATCTCTTCTGAGCCTCCGCACACCGACACGGACGCTTCATCCGGTTTGCGACGTTCGAAACGACTGCGACTCCCCACGTTCAAGAAATAGGCAGTGAGAAACTAGTTGTATTGTAAGCTCGTGCCATAATATTCCTTTGAAAATTTTGGAAAGTACGAATTTCCAAATTGCTTGCCTCGAAAATTCGCAACGTCCCCTCGATTCTAAACTTATCAACAATCATTTTTAGCTTTTTTTAATAATTGCTTGAAGGTTTCTCGATACCTTAAGCGAATTTACGATTTTGGCCATATTATTTGCGTCCTTTCTTAATTTTAATGGCAAATCAATTGATCCCCATTTGAAACCCCCATCCGAAAGCCAGATTCAAAAATTCCCGCACCGGTTTTGATGTATTTTAAAAGATTTTAAATCTTTTAAAAACTAGCTACATCCATGCAGCTATTCACACGGCTTCACAAATGTGATATCATTTTGTCCAGTCTCTCATTTTCTCTATTTGTCTCCCTCTCTTCATCCAACGTGTTTTTGCCATTTTCTGAATTTATATTTTTCGTCTGATTTATAATTGTGGTTCCCTTCCCATGACCCACAAATATTAATATCTTGTGCAGATCCAAAGGTTTTGTAGGCTGGAACTCTACGATGTTCCCCCTTGTATGTACTGTTGTTTTAATGAATGAATAAACGTGTTTTCCGGGATTTGTGGAAAAGGCATAAAAATTGGTACTTGACTCTTAGCGGGGGCGGGGGGTTTTAGTACGGGGAAAGGAAATTTTTTCCTAGTAGTCTTGTGCGGCCCCTGCTAAAAATCCACCCCGCTAACAGGCCGGTACCAAAAATATTACTAATTTTTAGAAGCCGTAGGGTATAGTCTGGACTTGCTACAACAAAAAGGCGACACCGTGTTTTTGCGGTTTTTTGACCAGCTTTTTACATTCTGAAGTAGATCTTGTATCTGCAGTTTACTCCCCCAGCCGGCACCCACCTAGCCGTATCTCGAGCTTCCTGTTCATCTACAGGCATGTAAAGTATACCAAAATGTTCGTCTTGCTCTGGCGAGTATTTTGGTATACTTTACACACCTGTAGATGAACAGGGAGCCGAGATACAAGAGTTGGCTGGGGAGTAGAATCTGCACTCTAACCTAGATCTTTTCAGAAAATTAGCTGTCAAATCGTGGTTGCCTTCTGGTTTCTGTCTTGGTTTAGAACCAGATTTAAGATTTTCACAAGCGCCATCATCCTCAAACGGCCCCGCTTTCCCATGCTTGAAATTCCTCGAGCCGGCTATGCTAATCGTGCCCGGGACAGATAAAAGTGATTCATCTTGAGCTTTCATCCATAAAGTCATGCTTTTCCCTATAATTTGTGTTTTGACTTTAAAGCTGGCTTCGGCAGCGCCCTGCCTCCGCACTGGACGGTCGGACCGAAGGGATGTTATGATTATGTGCGCTTTATGGCGGAAAAGCACTTTAAAAAATAATAACTGTATATTACTACAACTATAAACTATCCAAAAAGCTTAAAACAATATAATGTTATACAAGGTGATTAAAAAGACACATTTGAAGGCTCGTGACCTGAAATCGCGCTGGGACCACCAGGACCACTGCCGCAGCATCGGATCAAATCTGACGTCCGTGGTTGATACCGAGGAAAATAACTGGCTGGCAGGTAATAGCATCGTCCGTGTCTTTTTAAAATAAAGCAGGCGTTATATAATAGCCTAACCTTTTCAGCATTAGAAATGCAGGTGCTTTCGCGTTAGCAGGGGGGATTTAAGATTGCCCAGTTCGGCTAACATAAATGAAGACAGTCTCATAAAATACTGAAGCTCATATTAGGTTGGAACTAAAGTTCGCGCAATATTTTTCTTTCTTTGTAATTTTCGAACCGGAAAACGGGCAAGAACCAAAATGTTTTTTGGATGAAAGGATATGCAATAAAATTCTCTATTCGATGCGTGGGACGGAATCGCATTGCTTCCCTATTAGAATTTTTTAAAGCTATATTTAAGCGAAAATGAAAAATCGCTTCGGCCCGCCTTTAGAAAACAAATTTGGCCTCCTTTTTAGGCTAATTCGGCATGCAGCTGATAGATATAACTTATTATCATAGTGATGATCAGTTCCTATGGTGACTTTATGGCGGTTCGGAAAGATGTCCGGGTCAAAAATTTGAAGTGTCCTCGAGAGAAACGAAAAAATCTTCAAAACTACTGGGGCTAAAAACCTGTCATTTTGGTCCCACATACTCATGAACCCAATAGATAAATGCAAAGAGGGAACATCGGAATCTGGCCACAAAATTTTCAGAAAGAAATTTCCAAAGTTCGATTGCGCGAACTTATGTTCCAACCTAATAAAAGCCTCATAAAATACATTTTTCCAGAGTTTGCAATCAAACGCGGCGGGTTGTTACATTTTTGGACTGGCGGAAGAGTGGTGGGTCTAAAAAACTGGCTGTGAATCAGTATAAAACCTATCTAACAAATATTTAATTGAAAATTTAACAAGGTCTACAGGCTGCCGGCGCGAACATGACTTGGGATGACGGCCAACCCTCCACCATCGCCAATTGGGCCAGACTTTTTGGGGTTCAAAACCGGACAACGTGCAGACGGAGCCATGTATTGAAGTAACATTAGGACACGTTAAGTTTGTATACCTTAATTTAGGGTGATGACGTTTGCGCCTTACAAGTCCCGATGGAACAATGACCCGTGCTTCTGGCTAAAGCCTGCAATTTGCAAACGTGCATTCTCTGGATGACTGCCGATCGTTTTAAGAACTTGTTATAACGTACTTATCGCTATAAATGCTTTTAGTAATAACTCCAGTTATAGTATATTTATCATTACTCAATATCCAAAAGGTTTCTTGCACACGACGGCCTTGAGGAAATCACACGGATCGTTGTTCCATTCATATGTGTTGTCCCATCCGTTTCCGTTACGGAAAGTCATGATCTAAACGCATAGCTGGTACCTCATAATTTATTAGCGTAGACCAGCGGGGGAGGAGCTGCTTCGCGACTCTCCCCCGCTGGATCCCGTCTAGGCCCTATTAATCGAGCGCCCTTCCACATAAAGTTACCTTGAAGAAAGAAAACCCATCTCCCATGCAAAACTCTCTTGTATTGGCATGCGGCGCAAGATACTGTTAGTCTTGTTATTAGGCCTGCGGCGACCTGCGGCCCGAGCTTGAGGGATTAGCTTCCTTTTTTGGCCAGCCTGAGCGGTTTGCTTGGAGAGAAAGCCTGCGGCGCAAGTTTGATGGCTAACTCTTTCTTTAAGCAAGCCTGCGCCGCGAGCTTCAAATTCAGAGACCTTCTTACTTCCTAAGCCTGCGGCGCTAGCTTGAGCGGCTAGCTTCGTTCTAAAGCCTGCGGCGCTAGCTTCAGCGGCTAGCTTCGTTCTTAAGCCTGCGGCGCTAGCTTCAGCGGCTAGCTTCGTTCTAAAGCCTGCGGCGCTAGCTTGTACGGCTAGCTTCGTTCTAAAGCCTGCGGCGCTAGCTTTCTGAGCGGCTAGCTTGTTCTAAAAGCCTGCGGCGCATGCTGAGCGGCTAGCTTGTTCTTAAAAAATTGCGGCGCTGGGGCTTGTGGGGCTAGCTTTCGTTCTAAAAGTTCGCGGCGCATGCTGAGCGGCTAGCTTCGTTCTGTAAAAGCCTGCGGCGCTAGCTTTGAGCGGCTGCTTGTTCTGCCTGGGGGTGGCGCATGCTTGAGCGGCTGGGGTCGTTCTTAAAAGCTCGCGGCGCATGCTTCGAGCGGCTAGCTTCGTTCTAAAACTGCGGCGCTAGCTTGTGGGGCTAGCTTGCTCTGCTCGCGGTGCATGCTTGAGCGGCTAGCTTGTTCCTAAAAGGGGGGGGACCTGCGGCGCTAGCTCGAGCGGCTGGGGTTTGTTCTGGGGCCGGCGGCGCATGCTTGAGCGGCTAGCTTCGTTCTAGTTCGCGGCGCTTTAGCCGGGGCTGGCTTCGTTCTAAAATGGTGCGGCGCTAGCTTCAGGGGCCAGCTTCGTTCTAAAAGCCTGCGGCGCATGCTTCGAGCGGGCTAGCTTCGTTCTAAGCCTGCGGCGCTAGCTTGTGGGCTAGCTTCGTTCTAAAGCCCGCGTCGCTAGCTTTGTGGGCCAGCTTCGTTCTAAAATGTGCGGCGCATGCTTGAGCGGCTAGCTTCGGTCTTAAAAGTCTGCGGCGTCAGCTTCAGGGGCCAGCTGGTTCTGCGCCTATATTAGCTTCGAGGGGCTGGGGCTTGTTCGGGGCGCCGCGGCGCATGCTTGAGCGGCTAGCTTCGAAATCGTGGGGCTGCGGCGCTAGCTTGAGCGGGCTAGCTTTGTTCGCAAGTCCGGCGGCGTGCTTGGAGCGGCTAGCTTCAAACTAAAAGTCGGCGGCGCTAGCTTGTGGGGCTAGCTTCGTTCTGGTGCCCGCGGCGCATGCTTGAGCGGCTAGCTGGGTTCTGGGGTGCTCGCGGCGCTAGCTTGGAGCGGTTAGCTTCGTTTCTAAAAGCCTGCGGCGCATGCTTGAGCGGCTAGCTTTGTTCTAAAAGTCTGCGGCGCATGCTTGAGCGGGCTAGCTTCGTTCTAAGCCTGCGGCGCTAGCTTTCAGGGGCTAGCTTCGTTCTAAAAGCCTGCGGCGCTGATTGAGCGGCTAGCTTGTTCTAAAGCTCGGCGGCGCTAGCCAGGAGGGGCTAGCTTTGTTCGTGGGGCCTGCGGCGCATGCTTGAGCGGCCAGCTTCGTTCTGGTGCCTTCGGCGCTAGGGCTTCTGAGCGGCTGGGTTGTTCTGGTGCCTGCGGCGCATGCTTGAGCGGCTAGCTTCATTTAAAATTATGGCGCTGGGGCTTGGGGGGGCTAGCTCAATCTGCGCCTGCGGCGCATGCTTGGAGCGGCTAGCTCGTTCTGGTGGGTTCAGGCGCCAGCCTTGAGCGGCTAAGCGGGTCCTAAAAAAATTGCGGCGCATGCTTGAGCGGCTAGCTTTGTTCTAAAAAGCCTGCGGCGCATGCTTGAGCGGCTAGCTTTGTTCTAAAAGCCCGGCGGCGCTAGCTTGTGGGGCTAGCTTTGTTCTGGAAACGCGCGGCGCTAGCTTGTGGGGCTAAGCCACCCTAAAAGCCTGCGTGGCGCATGCTTGAGCGGCTAGCTTTCGTTCTTGCGCGTGCGGCGTCAGCCGGAGCGGCTAGCTTCGTTCTGGGGCTCGCGGCGCATGCTTGAGCGGCTAGCTTCTGTTCTTGGGGCCCGGTGGCGCTAGCTTCAGGGGCTAGCTTCGTTCTGTAGGCCTGCGGCGCATGCTTGAGCGGCTAGCTCGTTCTGGGGGCTGGCGGCGCTAGCTTGAGCGGCTAGCTTTTGTTCTAAAAGTTCGCGGCGCATGCTTGGAGCGGCTAGCTTCGTTCTGGGTGCCTGCGGCGCATGCTTGAGCGTGTGGCTAGCTTTGTTCTAAAAGCCTGCGGCGCTTAGCTTCAGGGCCAGCTTCGTTCTGTGGGTTCGCGGCGCATGCTTCGAGAGCGGCCAGCTCGTTCTGCAAAAACGCGGCGCTGGGGCTTCAGGGCTATTGTTCTGGGCCTGCGGCGGGATGCTTGAGCGGCTAGCTTCCTGTCTCTAAAAGCCCGCGGCGCTAGCTTCGAGGGGCTAGCTTTGTTCTGCGGGCCTGCGGCAAAAGGCTTGGTGGGGCTAGCTTCGTTCTAAAAGCCTCGGCGGCGCATGCTTGAGCGGCTAGCTTCGTTCTAGTGCCTGCGGCGCTAGCTTGAGCGGCTAGCTTCGTTCTAAAAGCTTCGGCGCATGCTTGAGCGGCTAGCTTTGTTCTGCAAGCCCGCGGCGCGGGCTTGTGGGCTAGCTTGTTCTTAAAAAGCTCGCGGCGCACATGCTTGAGCGGCTAGCTTCGCTCTTGGTGTCCTGCGGCGCTAGTTTCAGTGCCTAGCTGGATTCGTTAGCCTGCGACGCAGTTTAGAGCGACTGACTTCAGAATAGCGCCTCCCTACAGGAAAATACACTTCGAAACATGCATTCCGAGCATAAAGCAAAAAAAATACGATAGCCGGGGATCGAACCCCCGATAGCAAGATTGGCAGGCTGACGCTCTAACCGCTATACCATGAAACGCTTGGGAGCGCGCGCGCAACACCCTTTGTATGCCCCGAGGTGACTGCCGGGAAAGGGGAGCAAAGGCAATCGGAGGCAGCTCCAATGAGGCAGCCAAACGCGCGAGTGCAACTGGCAAGAATGAGGAAATTTGTATTTTCTCGCATTATGCAAATTAGCCCTCAGGGACCCCCAAAAATGAATAAAACCGGCCTTAACTTTGTAAACTTGTATTTTATCGAAATTCTGAGAACGCCATCGGAAACAGAAGGGTCGATTCCCCCAAGTGACGGAGAATTAGGGCATTTTATGCACGGGAAGGCCCTCAAATCGGGCCTCGAAACTGACATCCACACACACACAAAGATACACGCCAAAATTATATAAGGTACAGGATTAGGCTGTAAGAAAATCATACCTCCACACAGCGATCGGTCGCAATATTATCGGGTTTCGTGTACCCGATTCCAGTGTTGCCCCACAACCTTTGGGTCCAGTTCGAGTACGTCACATTCCGTTCGTTGTCCGCCCACAGGAGCGTCCCGTCCAAGTGCTGAAATTGGAAAAGGTCATTTACAGGCCGGTAACACGTCCAGAATATGATGGCATGCATTTAAATCGTGTACGCGCTTTGGAGCACTGCGTTGTCAAGGTGGACTACGCCACGCTACTTTCCCGTCACAATGCTAAGCGTTTATCGCTTACACTAATCTTGTGTGGTGTTTCATCTTGAAAGTTTTTCGATACATTTACTTTTACTTTTTCAAGCCAAGTAAAGGAAGGAATACGGTGGTAGAAAACCATAACGATTAACCTTACCACATGGGCGCCATTCCAAAAATGCCAGGGTTCGCCGCCACGTTTTGCCAGGTCTAAAATTGGCTTTAAAGCGCACGTTCAGGAGGGGCCGTGTACGCCCTATGGACGTAGGGACCGCGGCGCACTGCCTGCCCGTGCTGTGACAGGCCATTCCCTCGTTTGCGGCGTGGGGCGCCCCTTAGACCTCCTCGGCAGTCTGCACCTGTGGCTGACTGGTATGCGACCGCGTCTCCCGATCGGGAGGCCTGGGTTCGACCCCCGGCCGCGGCGAAATTCTTTGCTTTCTTGCCCAAAACGTCCCTGAACGTGCCCTTTAAAGGGGCCCAGAAATGCCAAAAATTGAGTGACGGCCCGAAAATCGGAGGCCTGGACGTCGGAGGCCTCTGTACACCCCGGGGCCCGGGAAGCTCGCAAATTTGAAATAGCCTGTTGTCACCTCGAAATCACGTTCTCGGCTGTTTCTGGGCCAAATTTGATGCTTAAAACACCAAAACTATTTAAAATTGAGTGAGGATTTCAAAAATGGGCTCAGAATGCGCAAATTATAGTGTTTTCACAAAGAAACCGGGCAAAACAGTTTCGCGCAAAAGCGAAAGAGTGAGTGCTCTGGTCCCGCAGCGCCCGCTGGCAATTTGCCAGAAATCAAAGAGCCCTCCCAAAAGGGCTTTGATTTGGCAGTTCGTAGCCCCTTTAAGGGGCAAAAA